TGTGTGTGTGTGTGTGTGTGTGTGTATATATGTGTAATGCGTGTATGCGTAAAAGTGTTGTTGTTGTATTTGCCATGCAGACAGCAACTTTGTATCCTGCTGTGGTTTTTGGGATCTGCTTCATCCTCAACTGTTTTATCTGGGGAGAACACTCGTCTGGAGCGGTGAGTGCCATGACTTGAAAGTCACACATTCAAAAATGTGTGTGTCAGCTATGCTTTCACATACTTCACATTCTGTTTAAAAGAAGAATCATTTATCCTTAATTAACTTTTTAACACATTTTACTGGATATGCTATGCTTTTATACTGTTCCAGTTCTAGATGCTCAAAATAACATGGCCAGAGTTTCAGATAATTAAATCAGTGTATGTACCAGTAATCCATGTGAGCCAAAAGATCTAAATCTTCTGTGTCAGGCAGTTTTTTCCTTGCTCTTGGATATTCCTGCTGATCCAAACTTTACTTTTATCGATTATGAGGTGCAGCCAGTTAACAGAAAGCTGTTTTGAGATGAAGAGGATGAACTGAGAGGCTGCACCAAGACCCAGGGTATGGCAGAATAGTCGAAAAAACCTCCTGCCTCCTTTGCCAAACTAAGGCTTGGTGGAAAATGTCATAAGATAAAGGAAAGATGCAACGGCATTTCAACAGAATAGTATCAGCATGCACATTAACAGTGATGGCAGACGTCTTCCAGTACAGTGTTCAGCACATTGCACATCCTACTTTACCCCATGTGTTGTTACAATGTTATTTCACAGAGGTCATATAAACGAGAACCACCAAGGGGGATTTCTAAAGACAGGAACATATTGCTAAATATGCTTTCCTCCTCCTTTGTTCAGGCCTGTTATGACCCAATCTATCTGAGCTAACCTGAAATAAAAATTATTTTGTGACAATCATCAAGCTGGTAATATGATAGTCATTATTAATACAAACTGGGCTATGGAAAACCTCAGATGACCTTTGGGGGGGGAAAAAAGCTAAATGAGGGTCATGAAGAGAGATTTAGAATGAAATCACCTTATTACACATAAAAGTTACATGTTTAAAGTGAGTGTGTTAGTTTTATATCTCAAACAGTCACTTTACTCACTTTTATGTTCTTTATCTTCCTGCCACTAACACAGAAAAGTCTAACTTGGGGATGATAGGTGACACCAATATCATTGATTTTCCATCATTTTTTTTTTTTATTGTAAAATTTGATACTGTGTGTTTATGCCCTTCTGAGATTAACTAAAGCTTTAATCGGAACAACAACTTTTTGTTGAAAGCATCTTTGTGTTGGTTATTGTGTTTTGAAGCCATACCACCTCGAGTAAAAATGGAATTTGACCATATTTGCCTGTAATACCAATTTGTACCACCAGATGGTGTAGCAAGTCAATGTAGTGTACAGTCTGGGTCTAATAAGGCACTAATCTGGAAGGACAGGTATTTGAGTGGATGAGACACCAAAGAATGGTTTAATGTGACTCACATCAACTGGAAACCATGATTGGATGCAATGGAAACTAAAGTTGGGTAGAAAAACAATTGCAGGGAATTTTGGCTGGTAAAACTGTTAAAGGAAGCATCCACGGGGGAAGTATACTATACTATGAGGTGTCTTCTTATTTGTCACAGAATAAAGCATCTGTGCTGTAGGTGTGGTTTAACTTTAAAGATTAACTGAACTCTCACATGGATTCTTAAACATCTTGACATCATCTCTGTATGGTCTGTAGGTCTTTTCCTTACCATATATAAAGCACCTTCAGGCGACCTTTGTTGTGATTTGGCGCTATGTAAATAAAATCGAATTGAATTTCTGAATAATTCTTCTTGTGTTCCTTATGTCTTCTCTCACTTCAGGTCCCATTCACTACAATGTTGGCCCTACTGTGCATGTGGTTTGGCATTTCCATGCCCTTGGTCTATCTTGGCTACTACTTTGGCTTCCGCAAACAGCCGTATGATAACCCTGTACGCACCAACCAGATCCCTCGGCAGGTCCCAGAGCAGCGCTGGTACATGAACAAGTTTGTCGGGTAAGAGTTTAGTCTATCTCGCATTCTTAGGTGCTCCAATGGCTAATGGTTTGCTTAAACGCAAGTTATGATTTAATCTTTCCTCTTCTTTCCATTAGCATCCTGATGGCTGGGATCCTGCCGTTTGGTGCCATGTTCATTGAGCTCTTCTTCATCTTCAGTGTAAGTACATGTGCACCGTTGCATGTCCGAGCTCCTCATCTTTCAATGCTATTACCGTATTTTTCGGCCCATAAGGCGCACCGGATTATAAGGCGTATTAAACGAAACAAAACAGTCAGATAAGTCAAACTTTACTCAACTCATTCCTCTTGCTTCCTCCACTTCCGTACCATTGATTGATTAATGTTGAATTCTCTGGTAGCTGCTCTATAAACACTGGAACAACAGTATATGTTGTTCCAGTGTTTTTCTAATTTTTGCTATGTAACTTTACACTGTCCACTTTCTGCTGTAACAAAACAAATTTCCCACGTGTGGAACTAATAAAGGTTATTTTATCTTACATTAATGACTAACCTCATATTGTGGCTGGATTATCTCAGTTGTTCTTCCCTACTGAAGTTGGTCTGTTTACAGCAATTTTCCATGCGATTGCATTTGTCAAAAAAAACATCGGGAACTTTTATCAAGTGGAAAAAAGTTGACGCGGACGGAGTTTTGGACCCAGATTACTATGAGTCGCGAGGCTCCTGACTACGGTAGCCATAACGCACAGACAATCCATCAAGCAGTGCGGCTTTGTAGCTTACCAAAGTCCTACTAAAACATTTTTTGACAGATTTTTGAGCGCCATGTACCACATAAAATCGGTTTGAAGTCAGTAAACACAGCCAGAATTCATAGATAAGGCGCACCAGATTATAAAGCGCGCCAGATTATAAGGCGCACTGCCGATTTTTGAGAAAATTTAATGATTTTAAGTGTGCCTTATAGTGCGGAAAATACGGTACACAGTTTTCAGAAATAACACAGTATCTATTTTCTATTTAGAGGATATGTAACTGATGTGTAATCCTCCTCAATAATGCTAGATTCAATGTGTGTATGTGTGTCCATCCACCTCCAGGCCATCTGGGAGAACCAGTTTTATTACCTCTTTGGCTTCCTTTTTCTGGTCTTCATCATTTTGGTGGTGTCCTGCTCTCAGATCAGCATTGTGATGGTTTATTTCCAGCTCTGTGCAGAGGTAAGCACATTAATTGCATACTATTGTCTCTGGCTGCCAGGCTTTTACTTGACATACACACATATCTCACATATTGTTGGTTATGTTTTTCACCTGTGTGGCACATATCTGTATTATATGAGCAAGAACTTATGCACAGCCTTGTCTCTCTCTTCTTCACTGTCAGGATTACCGGTGGTGGTGGAGAACTTTCCTGGTTTCAGGAGGCTCGGCTTTCTATGTCTTTGTTTACGCCGTTTTCTACTTTGTCAACAAGGTAAAAAGCACAGGGTTGTTTGAGACACTCCCACAATAAACTCTAAAGAAAGCACTGTTCTTAGCCATGCTGTTGTCAATGCCTGAAGAGTCATCAGTGTTGACAAAGCCTGCCTAATACCTGAATTGAAAGATGGCAGAATTAAATTTAATTTTGAAGATTTCCACCATCGACTCACTCATATGTAAAAATGTTATTTTGTTGGACCTAGTTTTTTGTTTTCTTTTAACGTACAGACATGGACTGTATAAACAAACATAAGCTTTAGTCTCTGATTGGTTTGTGGATTTCTGTTCTGTAACTTCAAAGATTGATATTTTGGACACTTGAGTTTTGAAAGATAGAAGAACATTTTTGGTTGAGAGGGTTGAGCTGGATCTCACTGAGAACCAGTCACAGTTTATGATTAAGAGTTTACCAGCTCAGTGGAGCCAGCTGCCCTTATCATAGGAAATGGCAGGTAATCAGCTAGTGCTGGCTAGTACTAGCACAAGTCTAACTTCCAGTTAGACTTCTACCACCATTTTTGTTGTTGCAGGTTCTGTGTTTCCTCTATAATACTTCCAACAATGCTGGAAAACAAGATCATGGCCAGCAAAATGAACTCTGGAAATGGCAACCTACCATGGGGAGTTCAGAGCATGTTATGGGGTTGCTGGAAGGCATATTCAAAAGGGAGCATTGAAGAGGGTTTGGGGAAGGTTCACACAATTTCAACTAAAATCTACAACTACTGCAAAAACAACCTTTCATATGTCTGTGAAGGTTCTCAGTCATCCAGGTTATCGTAGTCAAAGGAGCTTGCAAAGAAAAGCGTCTGGACTTCTTTAAGTTGCTTGAAGACGTTTCACCTCTCATCCGAGAAGCTTCTTCAGTTCTAAGGTCAAATGGTGGAGAGTCCCAGATATAAACCTAGTGGGAGTTTCCCCCCACAGAGGGACAAAAGGACCCCCTGATGATCCTCTAATCACCTGAGCCAAGGTGTGAAATTGGGTGGGGTCCCAATCAGCCAGAGTTTCAGGTGGGTTCATTGTGAAACCTGGCCTCACCTTGTCATGCGAATTCCTGAGGTCAGATGGCCCAGGATGTGAGTGGGCGTTAAGGCGTCTGGGAAGGGATCTCAAAACTGGATTATAGATGGCAGAGAGTTGGTGTCGTAAACCCCCGCCTCTGTTCAAAGATGGTCGCTCACAGTGGACATAGATGGCTTCTTTCACTCCTCTTTCAAACCATCTGTCCTCTCTGTCCAAAATGTGAACATTGGCATCCTCGAAAGAGTGTCCTTTATCCTTAAGATGCAGATGGACTGCTGAGTCTTGTCCTGTGGAGGTGGCTCTTCTGTGTTGTGCCATGCGCTTGTGAAGTGGCTGTTTGGTCTCTCCGATGTAGAGGTCTGGGCATTCCTCGCTGCACTGTACAGCATACACCACTTGTTAAGTTTGTGTTTTGGCGTTTTGTCTTTCGGGTGAACCAGTTTCTGTCTGAGTGTGTTGCTGGGTCTGAAATACACTCGGGATGTCATGCTTGGAGAAAACTCTCCTGAGTTTCTCTGATACACCGGCTACATAGGGGATGACAATGTTGTTGCGTCTGTCCTTCTTATCCTCCCCGCAACAACATTGTCATCCCCTATGTAGCCGGTGTATCAGAGAAACTCAGGAGAGTTTTCTCCAAGCATGACATCCCGGTGTATTTCAGACCCAGCAACACACTCAGACAGAAACTGGTTCACCCGAAAGACAAAACGCCAAAACACAAACTTAACAACGTGGTGTATGCTGTACAGTGCAGCGAGGAATGCCCAGACCTCTACATCGGAGAGACCAAACAGCCACTTCACAAGCGCATGGCACAACACAGAAGAGCCACCTCCACAGGACAAGACTCAGCAGTCCATCTGCATCTTAAGGATAAAGGACACTCTTTCGAGGATGCCAATGTTCACATTTTGGACAGAGAGGACAGATGGTTTGAAAGAGGAGTGAAAGAAGCCATCTATGTCCACTGTGAGCGACCATCTTTGAACAGAGGCGGGGGTTTACGACACCAACTCTCTGCCATCTATAATCCAGTTTTGAGATCCCTTCCCAGACGCCTTAACGCCCACTCACATCCTGGGCCATCTGACCTCAGGAATTCGCATGACAAGGTGAGGCCAGGTTTCACAATGAACCCACCTGAAACTCTGGCTGATTGGGGCCCGCACCCAATTTCACACCTTGGCTCAGGTGATTAGAGGATCATCAGGGGGTCCTTTTGTCCCTCTGTGGGGGGAAACTCCCACTAGGTTTATATCTGGGACTCTCCACCATTTGACCTTAGAACTGAAGAAGCTTCTCGGATGAGAGGTGAAACGTCTTCAAGCAACTTAAAGAAGTCCAGACGCTTTTCTTTGCAAGCTCCTTTGACAACCTTTCATATGACCTTTCATATCCCAAATCACAACAGCAGTCACCTGTAGGTGCATTATATTGGAATGACCAAGCACTTGGTGTCAGTGGGAAAGAAAAACTCCCTTTTATCAGGAAGAGACCTCCAGCAGAACCAGGCTCAGGGAGGGGCAGCCATCTGTTACAACCAGTTAGGGGTGAGGGGAGGGAGACAGTCAAACCACACACCTTCATGAAACGATGTCAAATGATAGATGTTTTCTATTTTCTAGGCAAGAATATCTTGTTCCCTGCACTGTAGATACAAGTGATAAATTGCAAGAATATCTCTTTAATAGAAATGGAAATGTGCAGCATGTTTAAACGGCTTCCTTTTGTCTTTCTTCCCTAGCTGGACATTGTGGAGTTCATCCCCTCCCTTCTGTACTTTGGCTACACCGCCCTCATGGTCTTGTCTTTCTGGCTGTTAACGGGCACAATTGGCTTCTATGCCGCCTACATGTTCATCAGGAAAATCTACGCTGCGGTGAAAATCGACTAGTTATTGCTGGTGCTGCTGTTTTTTGTTTATTTTTTTCTTTTCTTTTTTTTTTTTTTTTTGTAACATTCTAAATATATATAAAAATGTTCTTCATGTCCAACAAGCACTGACTTGAGTGCAGAAGGAATGAGAGGGTTGCTTTCTACAGTGCATCAGTCGCAACTTCTGGCCTCACAATAAAGAAAAGCAAGGTGGCAGATCTAAAACGGCTGTCACCTTGCTTCTGCCTCCCTCCTCCTCCTTTCCAGGACATCTAGAGGATCTCTGTTCTGCCGGGACTATTAATGTCCTCTGCTGTTTCACCTTTTTTCACAAAGACAGGGGGCCAAAGCTTGTCAAACAAGGGTTTCTGCACATTTTATCTTTTTTTGTGTGTGTGTGTTTGTGTGTGTTTTTTTGATTGTAACTTATCCAGGTTTTTATTTTGTCTTCATGGGATTTATCTGTGTCTTGATTTCTATTGGGCCTCCCAGCAGGCTACTTCCTTCTGGTTTCCCCACGTAAATTCTGTTTCTACACTTTCTGCTGTCTCCATTTTCAGACGTGACCTTCTTTTCAGAGACTTTACAGATCAGGAAAGGATTGAGGATCGTTTCTGTGGTTCTGTTTGTTGTGTTGAACTCATGGATGGAAACCACCCTGGGAAGTTCTACATTGTAACACAAAGATGGATAAATTAAATCTATTGTGGTTTTTTTTTTTTTTACTTCAGTTTCCATGTCCTGGTGTGACCATGTTAACCACAATTGTAATCCAAATATTAGCTTCTCCCTCCCAAACACTGGGTTTCTTATTCATGTCAAAATATTGCTTCATTTGCGCTAAATGAAGCAGAACTGCTCAGAATGGGACTGAACTTGAATATTTGAACCCAACTATCCATTTTATATTCAAAAGCCTACAACATAAATATGTTTTTCCGCTCGTTAACCATGCCATCAGTGTAGCCTTAGCAGTGCCTGAGCCTGCTGAACTATGCAGTAATGGGGGGGAAAAGGTGCAAATTGCAAAGGTTGTTTCAGAGGACCATTTTTAGTACGAAATGCCTATTTTCTTTCCTTTTTGAGCCTAATGTACCATACGTTTGTTTGTATAACCTGATGTGTTTGGAAAGCCCAGCAAGATCACCTGGCCGGTATCGGAGCTTAGAGGTCCTGGGGTGTTTTGAATGTAATTGACAGGGTTCTTATTAGATGTGTACAGTCTGTGTTTTGTGCGCTGCAGATCATGTGTTTACCTTTCTTTTCAAATTATATGTATTTTTCAGCTTAAAAAACATGCAGTTTTGGGTGGAACCTGATTTTAAAAAAAATGCTTTACCTTCAACTCAAGGGCTTCATCTAGGTAACTATTTTATTTTACAGTAGCAAAATTGCAATATGTAATAATCCAGTTGAGCAAATAGAAATAAACTTATTCGCTTCCGTTAAAAGCTAGGTAAGAAGACTGATACCACTCACATGACTGTTTGTTAAATATGAGCTAGTGACAGGTTATTTTCAGCAGGCATAAAGAGGAAAGATGACATTCTTGCTATGTCTTAAGGCATATAACCCTGCATCCATGTGTTCCCATTAGTTGAAAAGTCAGACAAATTACTTCCCATGTTATTCAGTCAAAATATCAACAACGCCATGGACAATACACGTATGCTGGGGGTTTTATTGACTCCCTTTCTGACAGTTTGAGTCGCCCAATTTTTACTGAATACAAAACCTGAAACAAGTGATGCAGATCTACAGAGTTCTGTAGGACCAACAGTCTCTTTGCAACAACAGGTGCCTTCAGGTGGTAAATTAGAAAGAATGCAGGTCTAAGATTCTAAAGCACTAGCTTCACTTTTCAGCCTATGGACTAATCTAGGTTACTTTATGCAGAGCAGCTCTAACCAGATACCATATTTCAGTTGAATGCTAGCCAAATTAAAGGTAAAATTTGCCCCATGAAATTTCTTAAATCTGAATGTTTGTTAAAAGCCATTTTATATTATAAACAGTGTAAAAGGAGGAAGTGGCTACTCTGACATCATCTGTTGGTTTCTAAAGTTGTGTTTTGAAGCCTCGAGTTTGGCGTTTTCATCATTGCCATCTTGGTTTCAAATAACTGGATGTGACAAGGGGGGTATGGCTGACCATGAAACCCCTTGCTCATTGGCTGACAATCCTGTGAGTCTCGAGATTTACAAAATAACTTCATTTTTTAGTCAATATGACTTGAAATGAGCAACTAAGCTACACAGAAACTATGTCCATGTTTTATATCATCTGTGGTTTTTATGTATAACTTCAACAACGTATTCCAGCACCTGTACACAATAAATCAGCCTTTTGCTGGCGAGGAGTAGTGACCATCTGTACCAGATTACCTGGTCATCCTTTTTTGCTAAGCTAAGCTACCTGGTCACAAGGGTTAGTTTAATTTAGAGAAAACTAACTGGCTGCTAGCAGTAGATTGCGACAGAAACATTAGTTTTTGGTCTAAGGTAAGCTATCTGGTACCTAGCATAAGCTTTTCTGTTTAATATGGGTATTAATATATGGTCTTAATGCTAGGCTAAGTTAACCTGCTGCTAGCAGGAACTTTGCTCAGATTGTGATGTCAACAATCCAATGCATTATGGGACTATATAATGATAGGTGTTGCTTTTGAGTTTGAAAGTAAAACTGGGGACATTAGAACACAGATATTAGTGTTTATGGTGTGCTAAGCTAGCCAGCAGATAGCAATACTTTCTTAACTACATAGAGACATAAGTTTTTGTGCTAAATGTCAGTAATGTGTGGTATCACTCTACTTAGGAAGACGGCAACAAAAGTGCAGATCAGTATCACTAATACAGTATATCTGAAGCAGTATCCATATCTCAAGTAGAAAACAATGGATGGTGTCTGCAGAATGCCAGGTTATCAGACTGTATGTGGTGTGGTTTTAAAGGAAAATATATTTGCAGTATATTTCAATTAGGACTGGATGTCTCAGGCCAAGGCCTTTTTTTAATCAAGCAAAACAAAAAGAAGTACCTCGCAGATTTATGAGAAACTCAAACCATAAACTACACAGCATGTAAGGTAATATTTAGTACACACTTGTATTTGTTACACCCTTGACAGATTTAGTAGGGTTATTGAAATGCTTCACTTTTGCACAAAAGTACAGATGAGATATTTGCCTAGATATACCCTGATTCTTCAGGGCAAGAGGAAAGAATGGCTAACTCATCCTCATGGTCTCTCCTTCATTATCATCAGCACTCAAGCTACAGACAAGCTGCTTAAAGAGATCGAGAAGGCAAAATCATTTGAAGTTTCCCCCTGCCACTTGCTATGTGAAACAACTAATCAAAGCCCCAAGGATCCCTCAGTTGAAATGACAGGATCATTACTTTTTACTTTCGTCCTTTATTTGCTGAACCACCCTGTGTTGTGTCAGAGTTTCAGAGCTCTGATACCTGACTGCTGTCTAATATAAGGACAGACACTCCTCTCCTGCAAGTGCACACACCAGGGGAGATTTTTTACAGACTTACTTTTAAGAGGCCGAGTCATGCATGTATAATTGAAGGTTTTACAATGTAAATAAAAGAAAACAGCTTTGTATTTGTTGCATTTTGCTGTTTGTGGCGCTCTCTGTAATGATTCCTGTCATCGTTTTAGCCAAAAAGCATGATGCTCTTGATGACTTTTAAAGAAACTTGTTTGTTATTTTTCTCTTTGTTTCTTTTACAGAATGTCCAATTACAAAATGTACCACGACAAAACAATAAAGTGATGGCAAGTTGAATATGAAAGTTAGCTTCCTGTGTTTTTGGAACATGCTTAATGGTGCATTACAATGATTTTACAATGACACATCCTGTCCACAAAGGCAGCACAACTTTATTTCAGGTTGTTCCCTGTCACAAAATATAATTATTATATCTGTTGATAGTTTCTTCCTTCATAACAACTGTGATTATTATAAAACTCTAATATCTTGATACTACAGATAGGTCCTAACACAGGAGGCTTTAGCTAATAAGTGTCTGCTAGTTCTCATTTTCACAAGACAAGGCTTGCTGAACTGAACATTGCTAACTAAGTTAGCTTGCATTACCTATTGTTCACTTAGCACTCTGGTAAACGGTAGCAATGAAAATGCAGTGTCAATAAATCAGTGGGCAATATCAATCTTTAATGTACAGTCTAGGGCAAAAACCAGCAAAATGATCAATTAAAACTAATTTCCATAAAACTAACACCCAGAGTTTATGCCACACAAAATGAGTACCAGGCAGTTGAAACAAGGCCAAAGAAGTCCTTAATCCATCTGCAGGACTGCTCCGCTCTGCTCCTTTGTGCAGTGGAGAAAGGGAGCACTGCCAAAGTCCTACAACATGACCTCCAGGAGGTCACTGGTGTCACTGTCTGTGACTAAACAATCATAAACAGACTTCGTCATGAAGCTGTCCTAAGGGTCCAACGTTGTCTAATGAGCCCTGTGCTCACTGAGGGCTAAAGGGCTGAGGCCTTGTGGCACTTTAGCCCAATACTGGCACTTGCCACAGAAAATGAGAATTGGCTATGTAAAGCCCTATGTTTTTCATATATTAAGAGTACCTTCAGCCTGAGCGCATATGACAGACGTGACAGGGGAACCTCTACAGGCTAGGCAACAGCACCCTGACTGCCATTAGCTATCAGGATGAAATCCTTGGACTTATTGCCAGACCCTCCTCTGGCGCAGGGGGTTCTGGGTTCCTCTGAGTGCAAAGCAATGCCCAGCTCATGTGGTGAGAGTATGCGGGCAATTCCTGGAGGATGATGCAATTGATACCACTAACTGTGCTCGATTGACCTAAATCCAAGAAAAATCCAACACCACCAGGTTGCATCTTAGACTGTCCAGGACCTCGGTAGTACTTGGTTCCAGATTAGGGAGGGGATCCCCCACGACATTATCATCTCATTATAAGCGTGCGCTGATGCTGTCATTCATGCAAACAAGCACATTTCAGTGAAATGGGCTAACCTGCTATGTCACACCACTGATCTTTTTTTGATTTGTTTTTGAGCAGTGCATATGAACAAAAGTCCCCCAGTCTAATGATAGTCATGTAGACTGCAATACATGACTTTCAGTGTCTAGGACTGTTGTCTGTCTGCCTGTGTGAGAAAGAGGCTGTCCGGAATAGCTATCGATAAAAATATCTACGTTTCAACACTCCATCTTCAAAAACACAATCAGGGATGAATAGATTGATTTAGAAGGGCTAAAAATTTGTGGGTTTTCTATTTCAGCCTGGATCATATAATCACATCGAGCCATTATTCTTAAAAAAAAACAAAGCAAAAACAAAACATCTTAAGGATCTACCAATCAGAGAGAGCGAGGAAATTCAAATGCACCAAGCACAGTGGTCAATAAATGCATGCATTCATTTTTTAAATTTAAGAAAATTTCCAGTGTCATTTTGCTTCCTTAAGCATTTACCTTTTTAATTCTTATATTTATATGATTATTGTTATTTCTGTAGTTTTCCCTTCGCTTTTTCCCACTACTTATTTCACTATGTCCTCTATAAAACATTTCTATCAGTGCACTGTTTCAACTACAAAGTGTTCATCTTCCAGCTCTTGGTTTTCCCCACCAATAGAGCAGCACTGTTTCACACTATTGGCCTAATTTTTTGTGAGATGCCTGCTGTGTATGGCTTTTAAGTTGTTAATTCCTGATTTGTCCTTCCATAATTGTTCACTGTGTGGAAACCTGTGGTCACATGACAAAGTTTATGCTGTGGTGTCTCAAATCCTATTTACAAACCCTTCTACGAAACCAGAAGAGTTTCTATTCCTGAATTATGGCACAGTTGGCAGCCCGTGAGTACATGTGTTAGAGTCAGTTCAGTTGATGTAAGTATAGGTTAGCTCCTTGGTACTATAATTAGGATGGTCTTGACACTCAGTTATGCATGCAGGCGCACTTGTATAGCTCTCTAAGACATAATCCAGACTCTGGTACTGTACGAGGTTTCGACTCACTGTGGAACACGCAGCAAGTCATATAGAAAGGAAATACTCTGAGATACTGTTTTAAGCTATTTTGAGCAAAGCAGTAAGTTTCTTACTTAAAAAAATAAAAATTTGCATAAATAAGAGAAATTTGTAATTTACTGTCAATAATCATCACATCTTCGTACTCATGTTCGTAATTTGGTATTCTCTTGTGATAAAAATAAATAAACAACACCCTAACTGTGGTCAAACCTCAACCCATTTCTCATTACAAGAAACAGCATCGGCATGGCTAATAAAGCCTATCCAGCCAGGTTCTCCCTGTTCCACTCCATGCATATCATATTACGAAACAGGAAAACTGTTTCTCTACACTACTTCTCTGCTCTCAAATCTGTTTAAATTGTCTGCTACTAATGATGTGCAATATTACTTATCTTTCAGTCTGATACAGAGTAAAAAAAAATCTTAATGCATGTTGAAAACAGAAATATGATATAAAGAAATAAATATGTTTCAGATTTGAATATATTGCGTAGATCGGGTCAAGCGGTAAAGCATTCTTATTCCTGCCGAGAGAAAATAAACAATAATCCCAAGAATACAGAGTTCAGGAAAAAATATCCTAAATGAAAATGACTTTTAAAAAATGATTTAACAACTTATTCTGTTTTCTGAATGTTAGATTGTGTTGTCCTTCATAGGAGAACGATCAAAATCCTCTCTTCTCAAGAAAGTCCCATAATCACCTTAAAACATTTAAGTCAGGGGTGTCCAACTCCAGGCCTCAAGGGCCGGCGTCCTACAGGTTTCAGATATCACCCTGGGTCAACACACCTGAATCACATGATTAGTTTGTTACCAGGCCTCTGGAGAACCTCAAGACATGTTGAGGAGGTAATTTAGCCTTTTAAATCAGCTGTGTTGGATCAAGGACACATCTAAATCCTGAAGGGCACCAGCCCTCAAGGCCTGGAGTTGGACACCGCTGATTTAAGTTGATATACTAAAAAAAAATTTCCTACACTGCTAAAGAGCCCAGATTCTCAAAAGGTACTGAGATCTTATGATAATATCTTATGTGAATCATTTTGACATGTTTTAGTGTGGTTTAGTGTTTTGCAGATGAAAAAAAAGAATGCCAAGAGGCTATGAAACCACTGGTTTTTCTTTTAATCATTTCAACATAACACATGACAACTCAAAGATAGACTGTACTGTACAATAAGTCAATAGTTCTGTTGTTGTGTTCATCATCTCTTTGGATCAACCAATATACAAATCTGTCACTTTAACATTGCAGCAACTGATTGCATGTGAGATATGTAACAAAGAAAAGCAAGACCTCGCATTGTCTGTCTTATCCAAAGCACATCATTAATAGAACTCTCCCTGTAGTTGATGCTATATAATATAGTGTACGTGGATGCAAAAACTCTATTTTCACCTTCTTCTTTTTTTAAAAAAAATCTTGGTTATTTCAGAGGTGGCTGTAATAGCAAGTGATAAAAATAAAATGGGCTATGTCACTAAACAAGATACACAAAGAGGTTGGAATGCAAGACTTCCGTTAAGCTAGAAATATATAAAACTACTTGTGGATGTTGCCTGCATCAGACAGTACCCAGTTTCTCATTAACAGCGAAACAAAAGAGAGGGCAACAAAGAGAGAGCCTCATTAAAAATCTAATCAGTTTTCTCAGATTTAAACTGATATATAAATTCCCTTAAAATGTGTGTGTGCTGCACCTACTAGTTAAGAAGAAAAGATGAGAATAAGTGCATCCCTAGTAGGTGCAGGTCGAGGTAATGGAGCTACAGCCAAGCAGAGTAGCAGAACAACACTGCAATTGTTTCAGAATAGGATTGATATGATATGGACACCAGCTCAAATTACAGAAGCTCATTTCTGCCAAAAAAAACAATTGTAAATTGAAATTATGAAATATTGTTTTAATTAAAAATCCCCTTGTAGTTGTGTTATTACAGTCTAAATTAGGAAACGTTAGTCAAAACTTTTATACTTTTCACTTTACGTAAATAATGATAAATGATGATCAAGCAGGACAGAGTTCATAGAGCCTGAAACAAAACTTATTTTAGCAGATGTATTATTTTTGTGCTTTTTTTAAATTACTAAGATTAAATTTACATTTACAATTACATTTAAGTAACCAATTATTAGCATGTCAAAATACTTAAAAGTAGAGAAATGTATTGCACTGAAAAAAGTAGAGATGTTATTTCGTAATCTTTCGTATAATTTGAAGTTAAAGATCTCATTGTCCATAGTACTATGAGACCTTATAGTAACAGGGGCGTAATTTCCAGGGGGGTTATGACCCCCCCAATAATCAGACCCAACCAATATAGCCCCCCCAATAAAATTATGAATTACCTTGCTGTTGATAGGCTGTTGATTTTCTTTACTCATTTCAGGTATTACCAGCAAAATAGTTGCATGTTTAACCATCTGGGAATTTACCCAGAGGCATTTATTTATTTAGACAGAGATCATGACAGAGATCAGCACAAAGTTACGCCGATGTATAGTAATATGTACATCTACAATAGACTAGAGCATGAAGCGGAACATATAATTAACACAGTTTGAGTTTTGTTCAGATCAGTGACTATTGGCAGTACACAGCAAAATGCAAACAAATACGACCTAAAAACATGGCTCAGTACATATGCTGTACAAAGACTTCCTGTTTCAGTTGAAAATTCACGTTTTTAGTCAACATGACATTGTTCAAAATATTTTGAAAACTCTATGAGCAGCCTGATCATTTTA